GAGCGCCGAGTAGGAACGGTGAGCAGCCCGGTTATGCACGATGGTAGGTTTTACGCGAAGAAGGAGAGAACCGAAGGTCAGGCTGCGAACGAATACGCGGCCAGCAAGGATTGTGTATACCCGTGCGTTGCGTGCAGAAGCCAGGCCAGAATCTGCTGTGTATGAGGATGTTTCTGATTTGGCAAGACGGACGAAGGTGTTTTGTGTCCGGGGTAGGTGGGCTTTATGGATGCATAACGGATCCGCCTTCGAGCTAGCCATTGCGGGGCGGGGTGTTCGTAAGAGCTTTCCCTAATCACTGCAAGTGAACTCGATGCAGGGCACATTTGTTCGTTTGCCGTGTGTATCTTCTGTGCCTTTAGCACTTTCGATTTGTGTTGGTCTTTGAGCAGGAAACGGCTTGATAAGAACGCCTCACGCAGCCATATCGATTGTCTTTGCGCGGGTATTAAGCTTGGGCTTGGTTCCCGTGCGCTGGTTGACTTGCGTTGCATCTATTCATAGGTGCGTACGCAGCATTTGGCGGCGAGCATTGGGAGTTGCGCGTGTGTGCCTCGTGTATTTATGCAGTTTGTGTGCACGTGTCTGCGGCAGCGGTTTGGCGATGCCTGCTGTCATCTTGCGCTCGCGCGGTGTCTTGGGGCAGCAAGTATGGGTATACGAAGGAGGCAGAATGCCATGGGTGCGTTTTGTTCTGGACCTTGGATNATGGATGCGCACGTGCATGCGTGCATGTTTAACAGAGTCAGGAAGCGCGGGCTTTCGTTTTGCTTTAGCCATGCTTTCCTTTTATATATTTTGCGGCGGGATATACCACCTCCGCGAAATCCCCTTTGCGTGACATAGTCGGACATTCAAACGTTTTCACTAGGTCGTTGATGCTGTGTATCTGCAGCACAATGCATGACGGAAAAAGGCAGCAACGAGTAGGCTGTGATTTGCGTCCATTGTTTAGAGGTTTTGGCGTGCAGGCTGGTTATGGGTGATTCTCGCTGTGCAGCGGAGGGCAGGAGTGGGGAGAGGCGAGAGCGAGTTGCTTGAACAGCCATGGCGCTTGCGCAAAAGAACGCGGGGCCGCTGGCGGGCTAGTTCTTGGATAACACAGAAAAGAGGGTGAACCGTAGTATAGGCGGGTGGGTCTGGTTCGGCTGGGTGGGTTAAGTTGTGTCTGTTAAGCGAACGTGTATTTATGAATACGTGACGAGTTTGCCTTTGAGGCCGGCACCTCGGGCCAAGCGGTTCATGAAACTGCAGTGTGGCAGGTAGAGGAGAACCAGAGGGGGTCTCTGAGCGTGCACGCTTCTGATGGCTTATGTATGTATGCAAAGAGCAGCGCGACAAGGGCGTCTGTGCGGTCATCTGCAGATGCAGCCAACAGTAGACGCAGCCAACAGCAGGCGCAGCCAGCTGCGCACTTTGCACAGACTTTCTGCTTGGCTAAATTACCATGATGGGAGCAGGTCAGTATCTGGCTAGGGTTGACGCAGTATTTGTGCGGGATTCTAGCAGAACAGCGGTGTGGAGGCCTTTGTGTGCACTGAAATCGCGCGTTGTTTCTTTTCTTCAGGCGGTAGGCAAAAATTAAATTACCGAGACTGCAGAAATGGGGAGCTGTTTGCAACGGGAACAAGTTGTAGCAACTGTGGAACGCACATGGTAAATTCATCATATCTTTGCATTTATGTGTGCATTGACGTTTCAGGCTGTCTAATTGCAGACATGGACGGATATGCGCGTGCATGCATATGTCAAAGTGCTGAAGAAGCGGGAGTTCGTTTAGCGATAACCCTGCATTTCGTTCTTATATACTGTGGTGTGAGTTTCCGCGCTGCGATATACGTTTTCGAGACAGCATATGATGTTACGAATGACTTGCGTAAATTGGTGGCGCAGTATGTGTACATGGCAATACACGGTAGGAGGCAGAAGTGACCGGAGATGATATGTGTCGAGTACTTAGTAGTATTGACGGTTATCGCGGTCATGTGCAGTGGTGGGTGCTCTGTGGAGCAGAATAGGGATGGGGTCCCGTGGTGCCTGGTGCGAATGCCGTGGCCAACATGGATTAAGCAAATAAGCTTGGCAGTTGCTCACGGACGCGCCGAACTACTAGCTCATTGTGTAGCTATTGCATAATGCAAAACTCGCGTAAGCCGTAGCGAAGTAAAGCGCTTCTTGTGTGGCTGTGTTAATTCAGTTGTTCGTGTTCGCAGTGGGCGCAATCAATATTCGAAGATGTCACTTGCCGTTGCTCGCGCTTGGCACTCACTGCAAAGTTTCAGTAGCATCCCAAAGTAGGGTGCAGGAGCAAACTGGAAGAAGGCCCTCTGTCTGCACGTACATGACTGTCGTTAATCTTCCAGCAAGAAGCGATTGCACATGGATGTTCCCGTCTGGCAGCTTCATCGTTTCGCAATTGATACAATGTATGTGTTTGGCTCGTTTTCCCTGCTTTAATTCAGTTCCGGGTGCCGACAGGTGTGTACGCCGTACTTGGTGGAGAGCTATCGGAACGGCATGCCTAAGCTTTGTGAGGGTGTGCAGTTTGTGAGCGCGGGCGTACGGCGACGATGTGGCGAAGCCTTCTCTGGCGTTGCGATAGCACGCTGCTTCGGCCAGGGAGTATGCGCACAATACACTGCTGGGGCTGCGGCGGCGAAGCTTCCTGCCACTGATAACAACAATTCGGTGCACCTCTGCAGCTCAAACGCATCTTCTCAGCGCGTGTATGAACACCGTTATGTATCAGCTTGTACGATAGCAGGAATGCATTTAGGCATGTACCCTTGACGATTTGCGAGTCCGGCGTGTGCGCATTTTTTGCGCACATTCCTTTAATCGTGTTCATCTATAATATTTCCTGGGTCGGGGAGTTATAGCGCTGCACTACTTGCTGGGGTGTTTGCTGGGGTGTTTGCAAGCATCACAAATCTCCTCAGTGAATTGATGGTACAGTACATCTGCAGCGCAGTGCGTAGTAGGAGCGGTTATCGACCTCGCGGCGATTTGTTCCAGAGCACCGAGTAGCAACGGGGCGCAGCCCTGTTCTGCACGATCGTAGTTTTTACTTGAAGAAGACCAGAATCGAAGGGCCGGCTGCGACCGAATACGCGGCCAGCAAGGATTGTCTATACGTGTGCGTTATCTGCAAAGGCCAGGCCGGAATATGCTGTGTACGGGGATGTTTCTGATTTGGCAACACTCACAAAGCTGTTGTGTGTCC